ATTTTCCTTAGGTGGAGAACAGGTAGAAGACAAGTTTGAGCTTAGGATTCTTTCTAGACGAGGATATATCAGTTAGCATATGTGGAGTGGTCTTAGTTGATGCTTAACAAAAATGTTAGGGGATTTAAAAGGCATCTTATTCCAAGGTTCCTTCCTTTTATCCCTTAATACGAGGGTGCATAATAGGCTTCGATTACTTGAAGTGCTTTTGTAAATATTGTTAACCCTACCTGGGGTCCTGTTAGTCTCTCTCCCCTGTGCAGTTCTCAGCCATTTACTATACATAGGTTGGTTTGGATCCTTCAAAGGCATGACCATCTCTTCTCCACACACAGAATCTAAGTGACCTAACTTACCACAGTTATAGCAGAAGTTTGAGAGCTTCTCATGCTTTCGTTCAGCCCACTTATCCTCATGATTCTGAGAATGGGACTGGAATCCAGCAAAGGGGGCTTAAAAACTTCAATTTGAACTCTATGTCTTAAGAAACCCCTAAATAAAACATTGTTAACTATCGGGTTCTCGGCTTTGATTAAAATCTCCAGACTACTGCCTATAGTAACAGCACTATTATAGGTCAATTCATCGACATCCAGACCGTGAACTTGTATCCAATAAGATTCTAGTGAGAAGTCAATTTCAGCCAAAGACATACCCGGAGCCCATCGTTTAACATTGAACAAAAACCCTCCAACAGACCATGGAGCATTTTCCAGAACATACATCAGGTCAGATACAGAATGAAAAGAGATAGCATAAAGGTTTTCTTCAACTTCATTTACCTGGAAATCCTTACGATCCGCCCAAGCTTTTGCAAGCACACCATAAACTCTATTCCGATGGATCGGACACTCGGCAATCATCCTCCCGGCAGCAGTAAAGGACATCCGTTCCTCAGAATGGGCATCCGTTTCCAGTCCGATTATCAAAACACGATTTGCCCTGCGGATTGTATATTTAAATTCTATAAATGAGAGAAAACAACAAAAATTAGCTAGATATTCTGGGTTTTAAGATTTGAGATTGAAAAGGAAAAAGAACAACGATATTTTTGGGTTTTTAAAAGAGGAATCACAAAAAGCTTGCAGAAATTGAACTAGGGTTTTTTTGGGGATTTTAGGGAACAAAAAGATAGGGATATAGACTGGAAGGAGAAAGGATAGATGGAAAGAAGAGAGATGGCAACATGATTACCCTCCTGGAGGAGGTCACACGGGGGAGGGGTTTCTCATCCTTCAGGAGAGACAGCGTTTTCTTCTGCACTGCCCAATCCATTTCTCTCTTGGTTTTGTTGCCCATATTTTTTCTACATTAGTTTTAGCGCACTAGGCTAAATGCTGTACCCTGATTCAGAACGAAAACTTATGGTTACAATCGAAATTTCGAATGGTAGAAAATTAATGAAAACTACATTTTCATAAGCCTTCCAAGAAATTGAAGTTTGATTGATGATATGGAGAGTAAAGCCCTTCTTGACTAGTCTAGAACAGCTTATTGAAATTAAATAATGATTTAACATTTTATGATTGGTTAAGTCTTTGAGTACTCATGTAGGCCTGATGAGACATCTTCCCAGAAATTAATGATTAAAATTTAAAAGAAGGTAGGTAATAAAAGAACAAAATATGGTGCATTGCATAAATGTTGTTTCAATTACTGTTTACTATATTAATATTTTTTTTGACCACCTACTATATTGAGATTTAAAGTATGATTAAGTAAGAAAAAGAGAATTAAATGATTATATGAATTCATTTACCCGAAAAAATTACTATGATTTTGATTCTTTATCCCTAATATTTCTTTATCCCTAATAAAAAATAATTTAACTAAAGTAATCAATTAATTGTTTGCAATTATTAGCTTTACAAGTGTTTAAATTTTAATTATTGACAGGATCTCTACTTGATTCGTATGGCTTCTGTAGCTGAAATACACGGCATATCACAGAATATATGTGGACAGGACGAGGTGGCAGGTATTCTAACGTGGGCAAACCCTGTCTCTTCTGCACATCTCTGTCATGAAACGGGCTCTCCACTTCCACTTAAAACTGTTTTATGCTTTGAGGATGTTTCTTGGGGCTCTAGTGGTTTTCTATTTGATACAAAGAAACTATTCAAATGGCAGTACAAAGAAGGAGAAGGCATTGTGGGCAAAGCACTTAAATGTAATCGACCTTTCTACGTTCCTGTCATTGGGTCGGAAGAAAATGTTTGCCCATATATTTCTTACCTTCAGAGAGAATTTCATATTCTTGGTGCTCTTGCAATTAAGCTTAGCAGTGCCTATGCCAGCTGTGGTGATTATGTAGTCGAGTTGTTGTTCAAACGTCGTAATATGACACTTGAGACACAAAAATGGTTGGTACACCGTATCACAGATTACTTGAAAAATGCAACGTCACGTTTTGTCAACTATGGTAATCAGGACCCTCTAGTTGAGCTAGCTGAGCTTGACACTGCAGTTTCAGATACCATGCTCGTGAGAAGCAATCCACCATCTCAATCAACTAGTGATTTCAATTTAAATCTGATTAACCAGACAGTTGGAAATGCTATGGATGGGCAATTGCCTATGCAACAGGTATCCATATTTGCTATAAATCATTTTGAACCTATTTCCTGTGCACTTTCTTTGGTATTTTTATGTAATTGTTAATACACTAAGGCTGCAATATCCATCAGTTTTCTTTTGTTGGTCAGCTACTTTACACTGGAGTTTTAGATGCCATGCCCACACAAGGCAATCTACAAGCTCAACCAGCTGATGCTTTTGGTTCTAAAGGGAAAACCTTTGTGGTTAACCCAGGGGATGGGAATGTTTTGCAATGGTCTCATGAACAGGTACTGTTTATTATAAGTTATTGTATTGAAAATGCTCATAAACTAAAGCAGTGCATCGTCTTAGTATTGTTGTGAAATTGTAAATATGCCTCTTACACTATAAACTGCAACATTCAGGGTCCTCCTATTCAGCCACATGTAAATGTAACTTCAAATATCAAGGCCTCGGGAGAGAATATAGTGGCTCCACCAATTGGTGATTTCAATTTGAATGGAAGAATATCCTCGAGTGGGAATAATCAGATTGCTCAATATCATGTTACAGATATACAAGTGCCTTATAAACAGGTACCTATTGCCATAAATTAATCATATTCAAACCTTAATGCCTCATAGACTGATATTGGTGCATTGCCTTATTTTTACCGGAATCATTATGAAATTGTGATGAAAGGTGTCGTGGTTCCTTATATATATTATTTTCCCTCTTTTACCTTTATATACAATCGTGGTTAAGAGTTTTTAAATATATGTCTACATTCTATTGGTATATTAACCAAATTCAAGATTTTTTTTTTTAATTTTCTGATTTTGAATTCAATGCATCTTATTCATTGATAGGGAAACAAAAGACAAAGAATATCAAGATCTGATGTTTGGAATTATTTTGAAAAGGTAGAAGTTGTAGATGGGGAATTATTGGCCAAGTGTAAATATTGTGACTTTGAGACAGATGGTTCGAGCAAAAAAGGGACATCACACCTAAGAAAACACTTTGAAAATCGTCATAGAAAAATTGAAAATGTACATCAATCATCAAATCTTCCATCTAAAAATTTAGAACCTCAAAATGCTTTCAAAGAAAAATATGTGTTGGATGAAGACAAGATTCATTTGGAGTTGGCATTAAGTACAAGCTTCCATTGAGCATAATTCATGATGAACATCACAAGAAACTTTTCAAAATGTTGCAGCCGAAGTTTGAGTTTCAATCCGAAAAAGATCTTGAACCTCACATAATTCATGTCTACAATGAAGAGAAGCATAAACTTTGTGGATATTTTGATGAGCTTTCTTGTCGCTTTAATCTGACGATTAATTTGTGGAAGGATAATGCTAAAGGGATGGTAAATTGTTGCTTGACAACGCACTTTATTGATGATAGTTGGGAATTGAAGAAGGTGGTTCTTGCTTTTAAAAGATTTGAGAATGATTTTGGTGCAATATCATGGTCTAAAGTTAATGAGATGGTGCTTTCAGATTGGAATATCAATAAGGAAGCATGTTCCCTAACAATCCACAATTCCTTCTCAAATGATGAGATAGTTCACCATGAAGAAAATTCACCTTCTAGTATTTTCTACCTTAGTTATGATAAGTGCATTAGTGACATAAATTATATGGCTGCAAATGTGTCTTTGAAAAGCATTTATCAAGTGTATAAGGAGGTGAATCATCTACAAAATAAGGTTTATACGTTGGTGAGTGTGGAATGTGGTAACAATCAAAGAATCTGCAGCTTAATTTTGGCCGTTGTTACTATTCTTCACCCAAACTTGAAACTTAAATTTGTGCAGTTTGTGTATGAGGAAATTTATGGGGTTGTCGTTGCAAAGCAACACTTGAATGAGATTTTTGATTTTCTTACAAGTGTTTATGATGAATATGTATATGATCAAACCAGTAAAAGAGAAGTCGCTACAGCTATTGGTGATACAAGTTGTTCAGCACATCTTAATGCTAATGATAGAGTGTTGGATTCTTTTCAGAAGTATTTAGCAACCAAACCAAATCGGCTAGAATTTTATCAGTATCTGGAAGATGAGGAATCCTACTTGATCGAAATTGACATATTAAAATGGTGGCAAAACAACAGCTCTAAATTTCCTACGATGGTGAAGATGGCTCGTGACTTCTTAGCCATACCTTTGTCAACCATTGTGACAAATTCTGCATTTACCACAGAGGTTAAAAAAATTGTTTCTAGCAATAGTGATCAAGATTTGAAGATCATAAATGCAATCATATGCTGTCAAGATTGGTTAGCATCAGTAAAAACATGTAAGTCCTACCTTTTTGATGTGATAGTTAATATAAAAATGGTCAAAAATTTAGTAGTTGTTATGTTCTTAATTACAGTAATTAATTGGCTCATTTGATTGATTTGATGAATGTATCTTCTTTCTAGTTAAGATGAAATAGAATATAAATATATCTTATTTACATAATAGCATATGCTATAATAATACAATGAACCTCCTGATGATACATGTATATGCCACAATAAAAACTAGAAATTTGAATGTATATATATAACTACTTGTGTTTCATATTAAAATGTTCATTCGAAGGGTTCATTCTTGGTTTGCAACAGTAGCCAATGAGAAGAGTGACGAAAAGTTAAGGAGGGAGCCGAGAGTACGGTCAGAAAAGGTTTTATTCATACTTTCTAATTTACTTTAGTGTACAAAGCTTTTTTCAATTTTATTGATATTTTAAGAAGTATTTACAAATGGCATACATTGAGAAATCATGTGATTATTTTCATGTTTATATCAATCTGTTGCAGGATGTTCGGGAGTACTTGGTTTGGGATTTTACAAAAGAGGATTTACAGCATTTGGAAAATTGGAAGAATCATAAAAGCACAGGGTATGCATGTTGTTGTAATATCAAAGTAAACTACAATATGACTTACAAATTACAATTTGAAACCTTATTGAGGAGTTCAGCTTTTGTTTGTACAGACAATTGAAGGACAAAGAGACTCCTCTTGTCATCCCTCTACTTGATGCTAATATCCAAGCAACACCGCAACTGTATTATATTGGGGATGAGGTAAAAGGCTGTTCAAAATAACCTTGCTTTTATTTTCTCAAGTTTGTTTCAAAATTAAACATATGCCTGATTCAATTAATGTACATTAATTTAATATTTTTTTCTCTAAAAGGCCATGAGTAAATACTTTGATTTACTTAAGAGAAGGTTCGAAGATAATCCAAACATGTTCTTGAAGCACGATTACGTGGATTCTTCAACAGCGGTAAATATCATTCACTTCTAAGTCTCAATTAATACAATAATTAACTTATAAAGTTATCAATTTATAATATATCAGAAACACCACTTAGAAATATGATGTGTTAATTCATACTGATATTTTTATTTAAAAAAATTAGAGTTTCTTGCTTAATGGACAAGAACCTATTGTGCCAAGCTGGATCACTCCTGAGAAACAAATCAATACATGCAAGGTATTAATTATCTAAGTTTTCTAGCTAGCTCTTTATTTGTATTGCCCTATAAGCTTATTTGTAAATATAACTACATATATAAGATTTGCTAATATTGTTGTCATTGCAGTTGTTTCTACCACTCTGTTTGTTAGACCATTGGACTCTTTTCTATGTTGACATCAAGTATCACAAATTTGTATGGTTGAATTCCCTTAGAGATACCCAAAAAGTGTCCAGTGTTACTCTAAAACAAATTAGGAGCTGGTTTGAAAATACTTTATTGCCTGCCATGGGCCTAAACAATGCTACGAATTGGCCTCTCGATGTTCCAACCGATATTCCTAGGCAACAGAAGTGAGTCACCTTACTAAGTAATTAATCTTTATTACATGCCACTGGTTGGTTTTTATTCCATGGATTATTATTGCTATGATCTTATGTGGTAATTGTAGTGTTAATTTTTGTTTACTTTTGACATGGCAGTAGGATTGATTGTGGCATTTTTGTAATGAAGTATGCGGATTGCCTTACGCATGCCAATTGCATTGGTTTCCCTTTTTCTCAAAAGGACATGCCTCACTTTCGGAAGCGTATATTTCTTGATTTACACAATCAAAGAATACATGTTCCTGAAAGGTGTGTAAAGAGTTTATGGTGTTTTTATATGTTTTCCTTTTTCTAATTAATGATTTTTTTTTCTCTTCTAATGCTTGTCATGATCTTTTTCTTTTGTCTTGACACCAGCCTGCAGAGCAAAGCAGATGGGATGATATTCTAATCAATGATCATTTTTTTTTCTCTTCTAATACTTGTAATGGTCTTTTTCCTTTGTTCTGATACCAAACTGTAGAGCAAAGCTGATGGGATAATTTTCTAATTATTGATCATTTTTCTTTCTCTTCTAATGCTTCTAATGGTCTTTTTCCAAACTAACCTGCAGAGCTAAGCAGATGGGATGATTTCTAAGTAATGATCATTTTTTTTTTCATCTTCTAATGCTTGTAACGGTCTTTTCCCTTTGTTTTGATACCATCCTGCATAGCAAAGCAGATGATATGATTGTCCTGCCCATCAAAGTGGTGTATATACATATAGCATTTTGTTCAAATGGTTATATATGTTGTTAGATGTCTATTTCATACACTAATGCAAACGAGGAATGGTTATTGGAAGGGTTATTAATTAGTAAGCCCTACATAAAGTTTCATTTTTCTTTACTCCTAAAACAAGCACATTTTTTTCCTCTAACAAAAAGAAGTTAAAATCCATTTAAAATTTTTTTTTTATCCAACAACACAGCGTTAGATCAATCAAACCAATTGTTTTGTTCAAGAGTTTTGATTGATAAAGATCCTCACCTGCCATTAGCACCTAAGGAACAATAATTCATTACATCAAACTGCTTATCTAAATATGTCTTTTATAAAGAGTTCAATTAAATTAAGTACTCTTAGTAATTGTCAATTAAGTATTTATTAAAATTTCAAATTTAACTAACTAAATTACCACAAATTTTGTGTTCAAAATCACTAAAAGTTTAAAAATGAAATACGCACTTAAAAAGGTGACAACTTCGATTTAGGTGGATTAAGTAACTTCGATTTGGGTGGATTAAGTAAGAAGGATTAAGGGAATGAGTACTTCCAAAATTAGAAAAGTTAAATACCCTTTTTGGTTTCTTTACGATTGAAAAAATGCCTTTTTGGTCCTTGTACTGAAAAAATTCCCCTTTTAGTCCCTAAAGTTTAAAATCAGACCCCTTTTTAGTCTCTCTTTAAATTTTGCTTACATGGCACGTTATTTTAACGGGAACATCTAGCATGGATATTCCACTATGTAAAGACGCTTACATGGACTTAATAACACCCCTCTATATCACTTTTCCTGTGAAAAAAGAAATACCCTAATCATTTTCCTTCTTTTGAAATTTTTGTTTTTCGTTCATACTCAATCCTTTACATGTGGATTGGTCAAGATATAATTGAGAATTCATAGGAATATTTTCATTGATAAAAATAAAAATTAATTACTAATTAAAGTGATTTATCAATTGTAAACCCTAACTTCTCCTTTGCAAAATAAATCCTTCTCTTTACTCTTTCCCTAATTTCAAATGAATTAAGTTATGAAATTCATAACAACATGAATATAGCAATATGAACTTATCACTTGCAATCTCAAACTCAAATATCAAATATGATCTGGGTTTCGTAATGAACCAAGAACTCAGAAATTGGATTTGAGGAACCCAAATCTGGGTTCCTCGAAGAATCTAATTGCTGGGTTCCTTGCGGAACACAACAACTAGATTCCACGAGAAACCCAGAACCTAGGTTTGTAGAACCCAGATTTGGGTTCCTCAAAGAATCCAATTGTTGGGTTCCTTGTGGAACCCAATTTATGGGTTCTTCGAGGAACCCAGCGCGAAACCCAGAACCTGAGTTTGCGAAACCCAACTAATGATGATGAAGAGGAACCTAACAATTGATGATGAAGAGGATGGTGAAAAGGATATCGAGGATGAGGATGAGGATACGGATGAGGAGAAAGAAGAAGATGAAGAAATAGAAGAAGACGAAGAAATTAAAGTTAATTCCATTTAAATTCATTTAATTCACGAATTAAAAAAATAAAATTTTTAATTTGTACATGCGGCTTAAAATATTCATATGAAATGCTTACGTGGATTTATAATTTTAACTACATATTTTTCACATCATTTATAATATCATTTATATAAAAAATAATCAAGTAATTCCGTTAATTAACATGACAGATTAGCAAAAATTTAATGGAGGGACAAAAAAAAAATCAGATTTTAAACTTTAGAGATTACAAAAAAGATTTTTTTCAGTATAAGGATCAAAAGGGGACTTTTTTCATTAGTAGGGAAACCAAAAAGGGTATTTAACCTGAAAAAAAAAAAACAACTTGTTCCATCTTTAACCCATTCTACTAGCATTACATTAATTCAAATTTACTTTCACATGAGGGAAATTATAGTTTCTTATTTCATTGACAAAAATACCCCTTAAAATTTTCCCACGTTAAAAACAATGTATATATACATGGAATAACACCCATGGAATTATGTACTTGTTTCATTCTTATTTGGTAGTAAATATATTTTGGGAATGACAAGAACATCTTATTTTACTAATTCAAAAAGGGTGCATATATTTTACCTCAGCATAAAAAGACATGATTTACTATTAAAAAAAAAACATGAAATAAAACAAAAACAAATTTCAAAACCAGAAAACATGAAAATCGAGCAACAAAATGGTAATGAAATGAAAGGAAATCTGAATCACTAAGAAAATTTTGTACTGTTTTTATTCAAGAAAAATAAAATACATTGTATTGGGCCCCGGGAAGGTGTTCTTTTGAACTAAAACTGAAATTAGCCCATGGAAGGCTTCGGCCTTTTGGGCAAAAGGCCTTCCGAAAACAAATTATTTTAGTTTTATATATATATATATATATAAAAAGCCGCAATAATGAATGGATATTGTCACACCCCCCGCCCCCTTCCTTTTTTTATATTTTTCCTCTGAGACGATCTGCTGTACAATAATGGAATATGATGTTCGAGTTCTCTCAGACTCCTCCCAACCATCTCCGATTTCAGACCTAAATTCTCTAATATACAGTAAAAATGAAGGCGAAAGTCCATAATCATTTCTACTGCTGAGGACTTGCCTTAATTGTTTAGTTAGTACAGAAACAATCATAATTGCAAAGAGGCCATCTCTTTTACGCTCGCCAGTGCCCAACGTCACAGAATAGGAGGGAGGAGAAGTGACAAGTCACAGGTGACCGGAGCTAAACTGGAAACTTTGTCGTCTTACCAGACTATACACGACGGTCCGGTGGAATAAGTGGAGGAAGTAATATCCTGAAGGAGAACTGAGGCCGTGATATGGCGTTGGAGGCGGTAGAAGACCTTGCTCTTCACATAATTCTTTTGGAACTAGGTCCCAAAGATACTGTGAAGGTTTCCTGTGTCAGCAAAAGGCTTAGGGATTCTGCTTCTGGTGACCTTCTGTGGTCCAAATTTTGTCTTGATGATCTTGATCTCGTATCCCCTCAAGACCCTCATGGAAACCCTGCTCCCTCTTTCAAGGTGATTGAAAAAATGAAGCCCTTTCTGTTGTTTTTGTATTCACTATTCTCGTTTCCATTTTGCTTGAATTTTTTTGGGGATAATTTGGGTGAATCAAAGATTAGATTTTTGTACAGGGAATGCAATTTGGTGTTTTAGGTTGCCTATTGTAATGGTCTCTGATTGTGTATTTCCAGGTAGCTTATCAATTATGGAGAGAAGCTTTTGCTATGTACCCATGGCCACTTGTTCTGCGAGTGAAAAGATGTTGGGGCAGGATTAGGAGTTGGTTGAGCAATAATTTTCCGGAGGCAAAGGCTACCCTTCGAGGAGGGGCGTCAGAATCTGATATTGAACAATTAGAGAACCTCTTAGAAGTAAAATTGCCTCTTCCCACTAGGGTTCTCTATCGCTTTCATGACGGCCAAGAATTGGCTGCCAAGAAGCTGTCTGGCAATTCACACTTTTTATTGGG